AGATTTCAACGTCTGGTGGCTCAGCATGGATGGCTCCTCATTCTGTCGCAGTCCTATGTAATCTCCAGTTACCATGGTGACTTCAGGTCCCATAGATTACATTGTACTATTATTGCTATATTTTTTTCCTCCTTAGTCTCAGCAGACCAAGATTACAGTGTTCCTAAAGTCAAACTCAATTGCAGTTTAGAAACCTCCAAGACCTCCAGCTCCCTGGTGGCTAGAACTATTAGGAGATCTCTTTAACGACAGTGAACAGAGACTGTGAAGTATCGCCTCGTACATTTAAAGTGGCAGTAAGTGAGTAATCAATTCTGGGCGTCTTAAAGGGGTTGTGGCAACATACACACTAAAACATCATCACAAATACAAAATCCAGGAAAATAATGTAAAAAATGTGTGTATTAAACCAATACTAAATGTATTTTAAAATATTGCTAATATACAGTAACTAGCTGAAACTCGTGTTTATATGGTCTGACTACCCCTGCACAGCCAAGCGTTGGAGGTTATACCCCATGTCAGGACAAGGTCATCCAGTGCCCAGGGTGAAGATCGCAAACTGCAACCCTTCCTTCCAAGATGGACGAGGAGGTGGGGATAACAGAATGCCAGATCACATCTAATGTTTGTGGCATGCACTGAACAAGTACCAATAGTTGTTTGTGGTACACCACAGCAAACAGAAGAGTTTAAAATCAGTGTAGAAAATCTGGAGCTGATGGTGGTGTCAATAGAAGGAAAAAAATGTCCCTGCATTGGTGGTGTCACTGAAAGGTAAACAATGTCCTTGCATTGGTGGTGTCACTGAAAGGAAACAATGTCCTTGCATTGGTGGTGTCACTGGAAGGAAAATGTCCTTGCATTGGTGGTGTCACCGGAAGGAAAAAGTGTCCCTGCATTGGTGCTGTCACTGGAAGGAAAGAATGTCCCTGCATTAGTGGTGTCACTGAAAAGAAAAAAAAAGTCCTTGCATTGGTGTCACTGGAAGAAAAAAATGTCTTTGCATTGGTGGTGTCATTGAAGGGAAAACATGTCCCTGCACCAGTACTGTCGCTGGAAAAAAAAAAAGAATGTCCCTGCATTGCTGGTGTCACTGAAAGGATAAAAATGTCCTTGTATTGTATCTAATGTTTGTGGCATGCGCTAAAATTTAATTTATGTATTTATTTCAGGTACTTATATAGCGCTGTCAATTTACACAGAGCTTTACATATATATTGTACATTCATATCAGTCCCTAACCCTCAAGGGGTGTACAATCTAAAATCCCTAATTCACATTCATGCATACACATACTAGGGCCAATTTAGACAGGATCCAATTAACCTACCAGCATGCTTTGGAGTGTAGGAGAAAACCCGAAGTACCCAGAGGAAACCCACGCAGGCACAGGGAGAACATGCAAACTCCAGGCAGGTGGTGCCGTGGTTGGGGTTCAAACCAGCAGCCCTAGTACTGCCAGGCAGAAGTGCTAACCACTTATCCTCTGTGCTGTCCACTTAGCCACTGTGCTGCCCATGGTACCAATGGTTGTTTGTGGTACACCACAGCAAACAGAGTTTAAAATCGGTAAAAAATATGGTAACAGTGGTGTCACTGTAAAGAAAAAAATGTCCCTGCATTGGCTGTGTAACTGGAAGGAAAGAATGTCCCTGCATCAGTGGTGTCACTGAAAGGAAAAATGTCCCTGCATCAGTGGTGTCACTGGAAGGAAAGAATGTCCCTGCATTAGTTGTGTCACTGCAAGGAAAAATGTTCCTGCATTGGTGGTGTCAGTCAGAGGATGGCTTTTCATCTATGTCAGTGGGAGGGGAACTAGGCTCTGTGGGGTGCTTGGAAATAAAGGGATCTGAGGTTCTCCAAGGAAGGAAGGGAGCGGAAGGTATCTATGGGAAGGAGGAGGCGAGGAGGCTAAGAGGTTATTAAGCTTTCCCCCTACTCTCTGTGTACTCACAGTTCAGACCTCCCTCTCAGCATGTCACCTCCTGAACACAAAAGCAGCTTCTCCTTCTTCCTGTCTCTGGTCATATGGTATGTCCCATGACAGGGAGAGACAGGAAGAATGGTACTGCTAAGGCAGAGGTGTGTTTTCTGCAGGCGCTTGCTCATTCACTCACAGCAGGAAAAATCCTCTCCCTCCAGCAACTACTGAGGCACCTATTCCTTCTGACAGGAATGACACTGCAGTCACTCCAGTCAGTGAGGCACAGGAGAGTGGAGCGGTTGAAGCTCTCAGCATGCCCACCCCACCCGCCACATATCAACACTGTGCCCAAGATATGTGCCCCTTCTAAAATCTCCTGTCTTGCCAAGACGAGGTGTTTTGCGGCAGCGCTATATAAATCATAGGACTGGATGGACAGGAATACAAATCCATTTACAGGTAAAATAGTTCCCATATATGCATTTCATCTATTTAGCTGCTGCATAAAATTCAGCTTGGACTTTAATATTATTATTACTATACAGGATTTATATAGCGCCAACAGTTTGCTCAACGCTTTACAATATAACGGGAGACAATACAGTAACAATACAGTTCAATACAAGAGGGTTAGGAGGGCCTGATCCTTGGAGCTTGCAATCTAACCAATTTAATATGTATTTCAACAATGGGGCTGATTTACTAAAACTGAACAGTGCAAAACCTGACGCAGCTCTGAACAGAAACCAATCAGCTTCCAGGTTTTTTTTTTTGTCAAAGCTTAATTGAAGAAGCTGATGTAAGAAGCTGATTGGCTACCATGCACAGCTGCACCAGATGTTGCATTCTCCACTTTTATAAAGTCAACCCAAATGTAGTCAACTGTCCCACGTTTTCCTTTTTGAATTTTTTTAAATGAGATCTCATCCAGTTTTTTTTAAAAAAAAAAGCAGTAAAATGATAAAAGTAAAAAAAGTTAAAGTAAAAAACAGCAATACTCACCTTCTACCTGGTGCCATCCCTCACGGCAATTCCTATCCACCAAAGACTGAAGGACATGCCTTGAATGAAGGACCTACCCAGGCATCACCACAGTACATTGGTGCAGAAAGCAGTACTGACATTGTCAACCGTCATCATGAAGGATGGCCCAACACCAGAGAAGATCCAAAGAAGAAGACGCTGCACCTCACGTGACCAGCGTGAGGACATCAGACATGCTGTCTAAGCAAAATATTTGGGGCTGTTGATATAGGCAAACAAACTTTTTCTGAAAAGTGAGTATTTGCTGTGAAAGGGGGAATCTAGCAGCACCCAAGAGGGTAATAACGCTGGTAATGGAAGACGGACAGGAGAGCTCTTGTTCATTGATATACATTGGTGGATTGTCTAGAAGCTAAGACAGTTCATATTCAGCTGCAGTTTACTTGGGCAAAAACAAGAGTTCTTTAACCTTTGATAATCTGCCAGCATTATTACACCTGGCCTCAGGTAGAGTGGTTATATCATTACATAGCATTTCTTGTATGTTGTATATTTGGCTCTGGGGATGAAAGAGTTCTTCACGCTTTCTGTGTCTGAACCACAGTAAATGTCACTTCTTCAATAATGAGCCTGATTTATGATCTAATATGTTGGATAATGATACTCAGCACAGCGAAACAGCAGAAATGGGATCTGTTATGCAATGCTAACACTTAATGGATAAAGCTGTGTAGAGTCTCAGTCCACTTTATATGCAAAACGTACCTCTGAACTTCTACAAAGATACACAAAGGAGCTCAGTTCCCAAACACACACTATAGACACCTAATACCATCATGATGATCATTTCGTTTCTAAAGATGCAAAAGAGGAAATGTGGTAAGGAAGAGTTTAAAGCCTTTCTATCGTATTAATAAAAACAATAAAAACAGACAGCCAAGGAGGGAGCTTAAAGTGATTGTAAACCTCATCACGAAATATGAACAAAGTATATCCCTCTACAGTGTGTACTTGTCTCCATGAAGAGCTCCAAAGTGTAATTTCTGTCCACTACTTTGTTCCTCTGCTATAAGCATGATTCACTTCTGATGAGTTTTCCTGACACCAAGAGAAAAAAGGTGACAGGGGAGGGCACAGTCTGTGCCTGACAGCCTCAGCTCTGTTCCTGTGAGCCCTGTGAAGGGAGGTGTGTCTCTTCCTTCCAATCAGTTCTCAGAGCTCTCCTCAATGATGTAACTTTGGCTCTCCAACATGATAATGATCTAAAACACACATCAAAGGCCACTGTTGCATTTCTGAAGGAGAAACGGGTGACAGTGATTCAGTGGCCAAGTATGTCTCCTGATCTGAACCCAATTGAACACCTATGGGGAATTCCGAAGAGACGAGTTGAGCATCGCTCTCAATCCAGCCTCTATAAGAGGTTGTTCTTGAAGAATGGAAAAAGATCGATGTTGCAATATGTTGCCAACTTGTTCATTCCATGCCTAGAAGACTTGATGCTGTCCTTACAAATCATGGAGGTCATACAAAATACTAGATGTAGTCATTTTTGTTGTGGGTTGTATTCATTTTTGCATCAGCTAATTTAAGTACCGTATATACTCGAGTATAAGCCGAGTTTTTCAGCACATTTTTTGTGCTGAAAAACGGCCCCCTCGGCTTATACTCGAGTCAACGTCTGCAGATGACATGCCGTCCCTGTCATCTGGACACACCCCCGGGATCAATCCTCGCTGCTCCCTCCCTCTCCCATGGTACACACTTACCGGTCAGATGTCTTCCTTCTCCGGCCGCTCTCCTCCTCTTCACTCGCTCGACCTTCGCGGTGCCGCTCGGCTCCTCCTCTCCAAGCTCCACCTCCTCGCCGGTGATTGGGCGCCTGTGTGCCTCTCCTGAGCTACAGTTCCGGCGGCCTATCACCGGCGAGGAGGTGGAGCTTGGAGAGGAGGAGCCGAGCGGCACCGCGAAGATCGAGCGAGTGAAGAGGAGGAGAGCGGCTGGAGAAGGAAGACATCTGACTGGTAAGTGTGTACCATGGGAGAGGGAGGGAGCGAGCGAGCCCAGGCTTGAGTAGGGGTCACCAACGATGGGGCACTATTCCTCCCTCCACTGACACCAACGATGGGGCACTATTCCTCCCCCCACTGACACCAACGATGGGGCAGTATTCCTCCCCCCCACTAACACCAACGATGGGGCACTATTCCTCCCACACTGACACCAATGATGGGGCACTATTCCTCCCACACTGACACCAATGATGGGGCACTATTCCTCCCCCCACTGACACCAACAATGGGGCACTATTCCTCCCACACTGACACCAATGATGGGGCACTATTCCTCCCCCCACTGACACCAACGATGGGGCACTATTCCTCCCACACTGACACCAATGATGGGGCACTATTCCTCCCCCCACTGACACCAACGATGGGGCACTATTCCTCCCCCCACTGACACCAACGATGGGGCAATATTCCTCCCCCCTCGGCTTATACTCGAGTCAATAGTTTTTCCCAGTTTTTTGTGGTAAAATTAGGTACCTCGGCTTATATTCGGGTCGGCTTATACTCGAGTATATACGGTAAAACTGAAGATTTTGTAATCGAAGTTATATTATTAACCTTACTTTCATGTCATGAGCTAAACAAATATTCTATAACACAAAATTTTGGAAATTGTTCTCGTGTTCATTAAGATATTGATTAAAATCTTACTTTTCAAAAGCGGTGTACTAATTTATGCTGAGCACTGTATATAACATTCCTTTAAAATGTAGTTGAATAATATGGATTTATCCATTTACACACACACACTCAAAAAATTAATGGAACACTTTGAAAACACATCAGATCTCAATGTGGAAAAATCTCCTGCTGGATATCTATACTGATATGGGTAATATGTAAGAAACGTAAGGATGGCCCATCGTTTGTTGGCAATGAAAATGATCAACCTACAGAGGACAGAATTCAAAGACACCCCAAAAATCAAAGTGAAAAAATCATGCAGCAGGCTAGTCCATTCTGCTGAAATTTCATTGCAGCAACTCAAAATGGTACTCCGTTTGTGTGACCCTCATGTGCTTGTATGCATGCCTGACAACATCGGGGCATGCATACAAGGAGACAACGGATGGTGTCCTGGGGTATTTCCTCCCAGATCTGGACCAGGGCATCACTGAGCTCCTGGACAGCCTGAGGTGCAACCTGGAGGCGTCAGTTGGACGAAACATGATATCCCAGAGGTGTTCTATTGGATTTAAGTCAGGCGAGCGTGGGGGTCATTCAATGGTATCAATTCCTTCATCCTCCAGGACTGCCTGCATACTCTCGCCACATGAGGCCGGGCATTGTCGTGCACCAAGAGGAACCCAGGACCCACTGCTCCAGAGTAGGGTCTGACAATGGGTCCAAGGATTTCATCCCGATACCGAATGACAGTCAGGGTGCCATTGTCTAGCCTGTAGAGGTCTGTGCATCCCTCCATCGATATGCCTCCCCAGACCATCACTGACCCACCACCAAAACAATCATGCTGAACGATGTTACAGGCAGCTTAACATTCTCCATGGCTTCTCCAGACTCTTTCATGTCTGTCACATGTGCTCAGGGTGACCTGCTCTCATCTGTGAAAAGCCAGTGGGGGACCTGCCAATTCTGGTGTTCAATGACAAATGCCAATCGAGCTCTATGGTGCCGAGCAGTGAGCACAGGGCCCACTAGAGGACGTTGGGCCCTCAGGCCACCCTCATGAAGTCTGTTTCTGATTGTTTGGTCAGAGACATTCACACCAGTGGCCTGCTCTAGGGCTCTGGCAGTGCTCATCCTGTTCCCCCTTGCACAAAGGAGCAGATACCGGTCCTGCTGATGGGTTGAGGTCCTTCTACGGCCCTGTCCAGCTTTCCTAGAGTAACTGCCTGTCTCCTGGAATCTCCTCCATGCTCTTGAGACTGTGATGAGAGACAGAGCAATCCTTCTGGCAATGTGCCACCCTGGAGGAGTAGGACTGCCTGTGCAACCTCTGTAGGGTTCAGGTATCGCCTCATGCTATCAGTAGTGACAGCCAAATTAAACATTAGTGAAAAACAGTAAGAAAAGATGAGTAGGGAAAAAAAATGTCAGTGGCCACCACCTGTAAAACCATTCCTGTTTTGGGGGTCATCTCATTGTTGCCCATCTAGTGCTTCTGTTAATTTAATTAACACCAAAGCAGCTGAAACTGATTAACAACCCCCTCTGCTGTCTAACTGACCAGATCAATATCCCAGGAGTTTAATTGAATGTAATACTCCTGATTAAAAAGTGTTCCTATAATTTATTGGAGTAGTGTATATATAATATATAGGACTATTTATTATTTATTACTGTCAAACAGAATGTGATCCAGTAGCTTTCTCTGCCTCATCCTACAGATTTGCTGTGAACAGACCTGAGAGCTGGGAGATCAGAATACATAGATACTCCCTCTGCTCTGTGTCTCTGGATTTCAGTGCAAAACTACAGTAACATGCGCCCCCTGACCTTTGGGGAAATTACAAAAAAAAAAAGATGTTAAATATGTAATATGTTAAAGGGAATATTTGGTGATTTTGTAAATCTTTTTGCTTTCGTTCTTTCGTTGAACCTCTTGCCGAACTCGTAACGCATACTGTACATACAACAGCAAGAAAGATGAGCTTTTTGAGTTCACGGCGGTATGAGGTTGTGTACTGACAGCAAGCTCACTGTCCACTCCCAGCACACTGACAGCTGTCAACAACAGCTCTTGGTCAAGGTGTTTAATCAGGAGCTAGTGCAACGGGCACGCAATCATGCGATTACTATGAGAGCCATTCACAGCGGTCATATGATATAAAAGCTGTTGAGGGGTTAAAGACATATTTTTATTTTTTAGTCAGGTAAATATTTCATGCAAATGTTTAGTATTTGCATTTTCAAGCTGCAGGTGGAGCTCTAAGCTACTTTTTCACATATTTACCTGTCAATACATAGCTACTCGGTTGAAAAAGTCAGACATATGTTGCAGAGCTCAATAGGTCAAGCTAAAATTTAAAACTGAACTTCAGGGAAAGAAGAAATCCTTCCTTGCAACTGGGTTGCCCCTACACTACAAGGATAAAATGGCCATTTAGTTCCACCCACAGAAGTAGGACACCAGGCAGAAGAAAAACTCAGCTCCTTCTATGGGCAGTCCTCTCTGGGCATAAAACCCCCGCGCTGCTATAGGCCTCCAGTCATTTCTGCCTAGTGTCTCAGGAGTATGGACGTAACTTTTTTACTGGGACTTCTGGCCCCATGGCTTTTTTCTTTTTTCCTTTTTTATCTTTCCCTGGAATTTTTCTTTTTCCTGCAGAGATCTTCTATCAACAGTCGGACTAGGCAATGGTCTGGATAATCTAGATCCAGTGGACGCCCCAGTCTGACCATGCAGATTGCTAGCTCAGTGCTCAATCGGCCGCATCGACCCCCACGGAGTGGGGCATCCAGCAAGTTGAACATCTCGCTGGGACACATTTAACCGGGCACCTATAGTCTGTGTCATTGTTACCCCCTGGCCGACTGCCCCTCACTTCGGTGGAAAAGGAAGATCTGTCACAGGAAACTTACCCGGATGGTCCTGCTGGATTATTAAGTAGATGTCTCCTCCCCGGACACAGTGTGGGTACTCCCTGGGGTGGTTGGTCCCTACGGGGTTCTTCTCCCCTCCTTATGGGCCTGGGCACCTGTACATATTCCCCCCACAATCCCCCTTTTTCCCCTCTGCTACGGGTGGCGCTGGGCATGTGTAAATGGGGATGTTTCTTCTGCGGGTTCACAAAGGTGCATTCACCATCAGGTAGATTTGTCCCTCTCCCTGTAGGGGTTGGGAGCCCTCTGGCCCAGGCCATGGTGGGGTTGCTTGTTTCTGGTACCCGTGGGACATATGGGCAAAATTTTTTCACTTTTCCTTATACGATCCACCTGTTCTGCAGGCTCCCTCTGTGCTGCTAGACTGCTCCCCACAGCCTTGTCTTCCTTATGCTCCAGCGGTCGGAGGTTGTCTGCTGTCGACAAGTACAATGCATAGCCAATAACCCTGCCATGGACAGAAGGACACTGATGGACAGTCCCCTGCTGGAACATAGGGAAAAAAAGAGAAGAGCACCAGCTGCTGGAGAGCGGAGGATAAAGTAAGTAAAATGTCTTTTTGAGGTACCCTAGATGTAAAAGAACATTTGCAGTGCAGAGGCAGCCCCAATGCAAGGGGGAATTTTTCAAGTAGGATCAGTGACTCAACCACTACTTCTGCTGGGCTCGGTCTTTAGAAACAAAAGTGAATCAGGCAAAACAAGTGCACCGTATATTAATTGTTTAATAACGCCTTCCCACCCAACCGCGGCCATTACACCCAGAGAGGTGCAAAGGTCTGCCTGATCATGTGACCACTATAAATGGTGGTCATAGTGGTCACATGATTGCTCCTGATCATTACTAGAGGGCGGGAGTTGTCTTGGATACCTCGGGCCTCTGTGTTGGAGCATGCTTTCAGCACAGAAACCTCTACTGCCCATAGATGTATATGTATGGCTTTGTAGGTGTTAAAGCCCATTCTCGTTGAAGCTGCATATATGTGTTACATGGGCGGCAAGAGGTTAAATAAAGACAATAAATTCATATAAAAATGAGGCAAATGCATTCTCAGCCCGACACATACACAGTTATATGGTATAACTCCACACTAGATTAAGGAGGGGTCTTCCAACTTGGAATACAGAGACTTTTAAAAGCCTAAGTCAAACTCTTCAACTAAGCCTGTCCTGCTCCATTCAAAACAGGATAGTTAATTTGGGGTGTTGCTGTCCTTTAAGAAGGGTAGGAACATTGGAACCATGTACGATAAACAAGATTCATTTTTCCCCAATACATACACTTTTTTTTTTCAGTTCAAAGTATTTTAAAGTTTTCAAATCACAGAAAGGCTCTGAGCAGTCAGAATAATCCGATACTTATAATTCAATTTCAGCAATTGTCTGCTAGTAGAAAAATTGGCTTTTCTTAGATGAACACATTAAGCTGGATGACATACGGTCATGCTTTATAGTATAGAATTTACATCACTGTAAAAATGGCTTTTAAATTAACCCAGTTATACAAATCAAGGTCATTGCTAGAAAGTAGGCCGAAGCAAGCGGTGTGGGCTGAAGAATGAATGGGAAAGGCAATTAGTTTTCTTTCAGCAGAGTACAATGGCGGCTGTGTTACAGTGCCTGGACCTGACACACT